TTCAAGTTAACAGAATGGTGTGCTTTGAGATAAAATGCATTTTTCAATGCCTGTTTTGTAGGGGGAAGTGCATTCAAAAACACATCTTTAAATATTAAGTTTTATGCAGAGCTGTGGGAAAGGAGATGCAACTCACTAGCAGAGCATTTAGCAAAAGACTCCAGGTTCAGGTAGGCAATGACTCCTGGTCTGCCAGAACTAGATGGAGCAATAGTCTAACTTGGTGTGAGGCAGCTTCCTCTGCTCCTAAAGAAAAATTCACAGATTAATAATATTGTGGTACCAGCAGAAGATCCCAGCCCTAAACTCTTATTTCATGGAATTCTTTCTATTATTGTTATTGTTGTTGTTGTTGTTGTTGTTGTTAATTTATTAGTTTCATGAAATTCTTGCAGGATCAGACAAAAGATCCAATCCAGATTCCCAAAGTAGCCAAACAGAGGCCTCCTGAAAGCACCTATACCTTCTGCAGCCCGGTCCACCTTCCACAGCCACATCTCTGGGTGCATGTTGCACAGTGCAGAGAAACCATGAATATTTATTAACCAAACAAAATGTGTAAGGACATAAGTAGGCATCCATTATTCAATATGACAAGGGCGGCGAAATGTGTTTGTGCTTGGAGACCTGACTGGTGAGCTGCCAAGCCCAGAAGTTTGTAGATTTCTCAATAGCTTTTGCCACCAAAGTGTTGCCTTGCCCAGCAGTTGAACCTGTCAAGGTGAGCCATCTGGGGCTTTTTCTGGTGAAGGCAATAGTTGGAAGAGGCCCCAAATATTTCCTGACCACACAGCTGCTGCTTCCCCCCCACACACACACACCAGTTCATTGCCATTGCTCCCCATGTTCTTGTTAGAATTCTTGCTCCATGTATTGTAACATTTGGAAAATCTCAATAAATATCTTATATAAAAAAAATAGAATTCCTGCTCCACAATTGCAGTCATGGGATTGTTGTCTATCACATGACGGTATATGTTTTGACTCCACAGAGTGGGAAGTGACGGAGACAGGCTGTTTGTGTTACTGTGTTCCGTGAAGTGGGACTATTGTCCTTTGTTCTTTTTCTCTTTGCTGTCTGATGCTAGAGAGAGAGGGAGCCATGTTGCAGTGCTCCGTGTGTGTTTATATGTAAATAAAGTAGATTAGCCAAAATGCTGAGTTGCTGAGGTCTGTCATGCTCATGATGCGCAAACTCTGCGGATCCCTAAGTGTGCCGGTGTCGGCTGGCATCGGTCGCTGTGATTTCGGACTGAAGAAAACTTCTGAAGCTCCCAAATGATCGACCAGGAGGGAGGGAATATGCCAGTCGGGCATGTGTCTCTACCAGGGTCCTACTCAAGTGTAGGCTGAACTCCTGACAGTTCTGTGGCATCAGGGCCCCCTTGGTTAGCACTACTTCCTTCTCACAGGGTGATCCCATCAGGAATGTAGACTGCAGTCAGGTCTGGCTTCATGCTGATATCACTAAGGACCAAGGCCACTGATTTGAGGGGTGTTCATGCATCCCCAAATGCATACATTCCAACTCTGGATGGCTTCCAACATACAGAAACATCATAAAACATTAAAAATAAAATAAAAAAAACTTCCCTATAACGGGCTGCCTTCAGATGTCTTCTAAAGGTTGCAGAACTACTTATCTCCTTGGTCAAGGGTCAAATAACTCCATCCACTCCATGATTTCTCCTATGAAAATAAACACATCCTAAGGAAAAGTGGGACATTCCAGGGTCAAATCAGTAACTGGGAGGGCTTCTGTAAATCCAAGAATGTCCCTGGGAAATAGGGACACTTGGAGGGTCTGCAAATGTGTTCACTGAACATGTGGAGTGGAGCAGGCTCGTGACCACTAGGCATGGCCCCTAGGAATGACATGCCCACCTGCCACACCTCCTTGTAGTTGCATGTTGGCGACAATATGACAGGTCCCCGCATTCATTCATCAGTAAGTGTGTGAGGACCCTGAGGGTATTACAAGTTAGCACATACCTGTTAGGGGCAGAATAGGGAAGGTTCATTTTGAAAAGAGACTAGATCTAGTTTATCCAAAAAGGAGGGACGTGGGTGGCGCTGTGGATTAAACCACAGAGCCTAGGACTTGCTGATCAGAAGGTCGGCGGTTCGAATCCCCGCGACAGGGTGAGTTCCCGTTGCTCAGTCCCTGCTTCTGCCAACCTAGCAGTTCGAAAGCATGTCAATGTGGAAGTAGATAAGTCAGTACCGCTCCAGCGGGAACGTAAACAGCGTTTCCGTGCGCTGCTCTGGTTCACCTGAAGTGGCTTAGTCATGCTGGCCACATGACCTGGAAGCTGTCACTGGGCCAATAAAGTGAGTTGAGTGTCGCAACCCCAGAGTCGGCCATGACTGGACCTAATGGTCAGGGGTCCCTTTACCTTTTTATCCCAAAAGGAACTATGGGTGGATCTACACACGCTATAAATAAGTCATAAATTAAATCCTTATAACAAAAGAAAATAACCTTTATGGAAAATCACATAGAACAAAATTGCACTCTCCAGCACCATCGGTGTTCCATGTTTATAACTCAATTAAAATACTGGTGGTTGGGGCTTTTTACTAATATAGCTGAGTCCTAGGTCTGGCTCAGGTGTGTTCCTTTACAAAGCAAGCTGGTTTACATTCAGGTTACTGTTCAAACCAAGTTCATCCAAATTATTCATGGCAAAAAAATTAATAAATTTAAAATCAGCATTCAGAATGCTGCAAGCTGCTGTGCTGAGGTGGAAAATGTACTCTAAAAGATGAAGAAAACATCAAAGCAAAGACAGTGCAATGTGAATTGTTTCATGTGTTTTTCACTCAGAGTGAGCAAGTGGTTACCAATCTTCTTTGGACCCAGGCGTCATTCAAAATGGCTGCCTCATAGTCAGATGAACCAGAAATTGCTCAGCGTTCAATCAATCTCCAAATAAACTCAATGCATCTTCAGTTTATCAGGCAGTTATGAGACCTACTTTCAGGTGCAGTTCAGAGATTTTTGAATTAATTCAGTGAGCGTCATTCAACTGAACTAGTTCATTCTGAGCACTGGACCGTTGAGGACATAGCCACCACCTCCTCCATCCCCAAGCCTTTGGTGAATATGGGAGTCAAGGCCCCATGAGAGAGGACAATGCTTTCAGGACCTGTCATGAGAGTCAATATTCAAGAAATATTCAAGGCAATATTTCTCACACGTGGGGGAATCTCTCATCCCTAATCCCACTACCAGCACTGCTGCTGCCCACAGAAGAGGGGTTCCTTTCAATGCTTGTGAAAAAATGCCTTCAAAAACTCTCTCTTTGGCTCAGCTCTAATCTTAAACCCCAAGACCTCTCCCCTCACTTAAAACAAAACATAAAAACCCAAACCCTGTACATTTTAAATACTGGCTGCAACTCTACAAATGCTTAGTTATATAGCCAATTTGCTAAATAGGACTGTGCCTTTGGTTTCATTAAAAGCAGAATGCAGCCAAAAATACATCAGTTTCGGATTTTAGAACTTGGGTGTGAATAACACCCTCAGCAGCCTGAATGAAGCCAGAGGAGCAGGAAGGAGTGTTCAGGCTGCAAAGCTTATTAAAATGGAAAGTAAAATACTACAGGCTGTTAATGCATTCTGGCTGGCCAGTGAGAGCTTGAGGGCAGGAGAGGGGGGAGATAAAAGTCTTATTGGCTGCCTAAGGGTTTCAGGGAGGATTTAAAGCCCCATTATCGGACTTCTTTTTATTTCCAGCGGGGGAGGACTGAATGAATGTCCCTTTTTGCTGTATTGGCTCTTTTGATCTTGGAAATGTAGAGCATGGGCTGGGCTGGGAGGTGCTTCCTAGTCTAAACAGGGGGTGTCGGTTTTGTCTGCTTGTTGCTTTCCCCACTGTTCCATCCACCCCCAGCCAGCCAGCTGCAATGCTCTGACATTGAACCTATGTCTGCAATCACTTTTCCAAGGCCAGCAAGCATCCTGGTCACGTCATCCTCTAAAGTGGATGGCTGGTTGGGCGTGTGGGTGCATGAATTGATAGGTGCAGTGGCAGACTTTGGGCTTTAAGATTTCAGCAGTGCCCTGTATGACACAAAACACCCTTGTCAAAAGTTTTTTGTTTTTAAAAAATTATTATTATTATTATTATTATTATTAATTTATTATTTATACCCCACCCATCTGGCTGGGTTTCCCCAGCCACTCTTATAATAATAAGATGAATCATTATATTAGACATTTGGCTGTCCTTATACAGCAGAGGATGCTTCCAACAATTCTCTTAAGCAGGATGGAAAACTTTAGACCTGGGGGCCTAATATACCCCCCCAGCATCTATCTGACCCTTGGGACTCTCCCCAGACTACACCCCACTCCCCAAGTCACATCCATCATTGGCCCTGCTCCATGTTGTTGTTGTTTAGTTGTGTCCGACTCTTCGTGACCCCATGGACCAGAGCACGCCAGGCACTCCTGTCTTCCACTGCCTCCTGCAGTTTGGTCAGACTCATGCTGGTAGCTTCGAGAACACTGTCCAACCCTCTCGTCCTCTGTCATCCCCTTCTCCTTGTGCCCTCAACCTTTCCCAACATCAGGGTCTTTTCTAGGGAGTCTTCTCTTCTCATGAGGTGGCCAAAGTATTGGAGCCTCAACTTCAGGATCTGGCCCTGCTCCATACCCTCCTATTTTTTTTACATCAAAATATATTTATGTATCTTGGTGATTTCCCATTCTTACATCTTTGATGGTCTAATTCTCTCTCCTTCCTGCTGCCTTTCCAACTTCTTAACCTTATCTGTTTACCTAAATCCTATATTACAATCTTTCCTGTTTTCTTTCCATTGCTCATAAGTCAAAACCTGCTTGAGATTTTATTAGGCTGTATTGCCTTCTTATATGGACTGAAAAGGGCCCCCATTCTTCCACGTAGTGTAGCCTTATTAGGCTTTACTGATTGGTTTCAAACTGACTGCATAGAAACCCATTCCTTCAGTAGATTTCATCTTTCTGATTCCTTATTTTAGCAGCGGCCGTATCATAGCCAATGAGGTTAATGCAAGGTGTGATTATTGCTCATTGGAAACTGCCCCACACCCTCCTTCAGTGCTTCTTCCCGGCTGGAATGTGTCCTCAAATTCTGATCATGCCTTTTGCTTGCCTGGATGGAGACTAGAGAGGAGGATGTAGAAATTGGCCTACTGTACAAAAGTTAACGTCATTGCTCCACCCACTTTGGCTTCTTGCCCCGCCCACCTCTTGCATATGGCCGCTGGAAGGTAGCCCAGAAGCAAATGTGGCCCTCGGGCTGGAAAATGTTCCGCAAGAGAAGCAAGTGTTCTCAGCCACATTCCTGCTCTGTGCCGCTGTAGAATTCCCCATCTTCCCTTTCTGTAATAAAACAGTCGCAGAGCACTACGTTCCGTGGTAGCTGCTAAAGTGAAACCGCAATGAAAAATTAATGGAGAATGTACCTATAATATATAAGCAGTGTACATTATGATTTTACCAAGCTGTTGGCTGCTTTATTAACAGCTTCCAATATTTCACAGATGGAAATAGGGAGGTGTCTGGGACTCTTTCAGGGACCAGATCCAACAGCTTGAGGCAGGGGTAAGAACAACACAGTTATCGTTATTATATCCTGGGGCACATATATTAGAACTCTGCACAGACTCAGGGGCTCTTCTCTACAGTGGTGGCCTCTGTACACTTAGAACTGTGAGGGAGGGAAACTGTTGATGGAGCCAGAGTCAGGGACAGCAGAGACAACTAATTCCGGTTTTGTCCCCATGTTGTTCCCTGTTCAGTTCTCTGCGGGGAGGAAGCAGGAGGACAGTGTGTGTGAGAGAAAGAGAGGTGTTTTGGCTGTTTTGAGTGTGTGCATATCGAGAATTGTGGGGTGCAGAACTCACTAACGTTCCTCCTAGAGCTTGTGGCTACCATGTTTATTACCCCAGAATGTCTGGAATGATGCACAGTGCAGCCTTCCTCAAACTGTCCCCATTCAGATGGTGTTGGACTCCAACTCCCATCAGCCCTAGGCAGGCTGATGAATGGTCAGTGATAATGGGAGTCAATGTCAAACTGATATCTGGAGGGCATTCGGTTGGGGAAGGTCTTCAGCAGGTGCCAAAAAGACAACATTCAAGGGAAAGGAATTCCAATACAGCTGGGAAAGGGAAGGTCCCACGACACAAAAGGCCTGATTCCTACACAGGCTTCCTGATAAGATAGTATTCGCAGGAGGCCCTCACCTGCGGAGCAAAGTGATCAGTTGGGTATATAAGGGGGTACCTCTCAGATATCTTGGTCCCAGAGCTTCTCAAACTGTAGCCCACAAACTTCATGCAGGTGGTTCACAGCCTATCTGTAGATTTGAGGTTGAAGATGGGAGATGGCACATCCATTACACAGAATATTCATATTGATTTTTAATTATATTTTTGCTGTTTCTTTTATTTCTTAGCTTGAAAGAAAGGAAGCTTCACTCTGCATTTAGTCTATAGATAAGTCAGAAACACTTTATGAAAGCATACAGGCACAGAGAGAAAACAGACTGGTGCAGATCCCTCTGGCAGTTAAAGAGTTCTCTGTGAAGCCCTCTAATGCAGCCAAAATTTATAGGCACCACAAGGCTCAGAACTACCTGCAACTTGCTGATTAGTAAAAAGGAGCTGAACAATACTAAGAGAAGAACACTTATCAGTTTAAAGGCTGTTTGTGGTTTCTATGGCTTCACGGGCATTTTCCAAGATCACTTTCACTTTTCACCCCATCAGTACATACACAAATCCATTATGGGGGCCGTCAGGTCAGTTTTGGTCTTACATTCCCCACTTTTGTGCTTTTAAGTCTTAGGAAAGTCTTAAATTCTTTCCCCCGCACTTTCTCCTTTTTCTTCCTTCCTTTTTGCGGTTGTTGGTGGTAGTCAATTACAGTTCTGTGTAATCATGTAATCATGAATAGATGGCTTTGGTCAGCAACATCAGTAAAGGCGGAATAATCATGTAAGCAAGCAAAATAATCCTATCACACCAATAGACCGCATCATGTGTTGTGGCTGGGAGATTACCTTTGCTGCATGGCAGGTGAGATCATAATTTGTGCATTAAGCTGCAATACAGTGAGCAGTTACAAAAGCATATATATTTTAATATACTCATGGGTCTTTGTTATAAAATCATCAATTTTGTGATTTTGGGAAGCAGAGCAGTTAATTCTATAAATGTATCTCATGGTCAACCAGTTGAAGAATATAACATATTTTAACGTGGTTTGTCTTTGTTGATCAACTGGCCAATATATAGTATGGTTCTGAATACTGGTCTGTACAATTATATAAATATCCCTTGTAATGGTTCCATTTGCCCAAGCATAACTAACCTTTGCTATAAGTAATGTTTCTTCATATATAGTGGTACCCTTTCCCAGCAAATCTTATAATGAACAGTTATGATTTCCCCTTCTTTTCGTATTCTTATGCACTGAAGTTGCAACTTGGTGGTTCCCTACTCCCAACCCAATTCTTGGTCATCTCCCAGGTGCACTTACTTCAAAAAAGTTTGGTTTATCAGGTTTCACAAAGAACTCAATGGACTACCCAATCCCACCGGCACCCTACCCATGGACCTGGGAGAATTTGGTATGTTGGTGCCCAAACTCTTTCTAATGGTCAATAGGTCTAGAAGGAACCCTGCAAGCATCTGCACTGCCATCCAGAGAATCTCCATGGATGGTGCCATGGCCACAGATCCTCAGGGATTCTCGAGGTGTTCTTTAGAATCATAGGCTGGTTCTGGTGTAATATATCATCCCTTATGGATTTAAGTTGGTCATTGAGAAAATCCTGAACATCTGAGCAGGCCTGGTTCCAGCCATGACATTATGAGAAACTAGGTTGGCTAGGTGATCTCTGGTCATGGCACTGCGGGTAGATACAATATGTAGATCCCCAAGGCCCACCTGGAGATGTGAGAGTTGCATACCGATACTGAGGCCCATAGCTTTCTCCAAGTGGCCTAGCCTTTTGTTCCTCAACTGGCTTTCATAACCTTTGTAAGCTGCCAATGTGGGATTTTCCCCATCCCATAAATGACCAGCCATGCCCTATTTCTTTACAGGTTTATCTCAACCAGCAGCCTATGCTCGCTGTTCTGTTAGTCCAATGGCTGCACCCTTCATACAGCTAGGAAACTGGAAGGTGACTTAAGGAACAAGTAACATTCTTACTTGCTGTAGTTCTTTAGGAATGCATATCATCCCAGGAGCCTTGAGCCTGGGCTGATTGGACTGCAGCCTCCCATCATCCCTTACCACTGGCCATAGTGGCTGGGGCTGATGAGATTTGCAGTCCAAAATATATGGAGGGCACCAGGTTGGGGGAGGCTGGTTTGGGTTCTCATTTGAGCTGAGTCCTTTGTCCAAGCAAAGGAGTCTGCACTGGGAGTCTGCACTGGGACCTGACCCAGGTCCTGTCCTGCGTGGCCCTTCCTTGGTGACTTGGAAGCTTGCATAGCTTGTGCTGGACTCTCATGGCGGCGCAGTCTCTGCTAGACTTCATTCAGAGACTTGAGGGCTCGCCCAGATTTGCCAGAACAGGGCAAAACCGATCTTCCCCATCTGTCTCTAGGAAACTATCTGGGCTCCTTCTAATCACATTGCTTATTAAAGTACAGGAAATTAAATCCTCACCAGCCTTTTTTACACATAGCGATTTGTCTTGCAGCAGCACAGGCAGGTCAGACCGGGTCCTCCTGTGCAGAATGCAGTATAAATTGGGAATGAAATAGCACTGCCTCTTCCAGAGATTTAACAACCTAAACAGGCAGAGTATGTATCTAGCAAGGCGAAAGGAGGAACAGAGAATATGTCTTGCACTTATCTGTGCTCCAGCCCGTTGCAAAACTGATGAAATAGACTTGATTACTCGTATTCCTACCATGACATTGAACTCACCTGCCTTCTGGGGGGGGGGGGATCTAATTCCTTAAATCAGTGATGGGGAACTTGTGCACCCTCCCTGCCAAGCAGTCATTGGATTCCAATTCCAACTTGGAATCTCTATCTGAAACCACACTAGTGCAAGGCTGGCCCTCCAGATGTTGTGGCCCTCCAGATGTTGTTGGACTACAACTGCCATCATCTTTGATCATTGGCCACATTGGCTGGGGCCTATGGGAGCTGGAGTCCAACAATACCTAGTGGGTCACAGGTTCCCCAGCCCTGCACATGTAATTAGATCACACCATAGAGCCAGGCTGCATTCACAAAGCCGTTCATTCCATTTTCCCAGTGTTAATTCCCTCCCACCCCCTATTATATTTAAGTTTTCGCATGGTGTAAAAGCTGCTTCCAGAAATACAGCGGACTCTAGAACAAGTTTAGCACTCATTTCTGTTTTATTTGCTTCCAGCAAAAAGCCTGTTTGCAAATCCATGTTGTTACCAAGTTGCTGATACAGGTGCTCTTGCACAAAATGTTATCATGAATTAGAAGGCATGTCATGGACCATTGACCATGATGACTGGGGCTGATGGGACATGCAGTTCAAAACATCAGGAGGGCACAAGGTTAAAGATAGCTGCATCATAACAAGATATAGTATAGTATAGTATAGTATAGTATAGTATAGTATAGTATAGTATAGTATAGTATAGTAGCCAATGGGGTGTCCTCTAGATGTTATTGGACTCCATCTCCCATCAGCCCCAACCAGCATCCTCCAAATGTTTTTGGACTACAAGACCCATCATTCCTGTCCATTGCCCATGCTGGTTGGGGCTGATGAGGGTTGGATGCCAGCAACGTCTAAAGGGCAACAAGTTGGCTACCCCGATACAGAACTTTGATCCAATCCAGCAGCACCGTTGTGGCCTCCAGCACCATGGACAGTTCTCCAGCCTTTTCCCAATCTAAACAAAGATCCAGCTTCCCTCTTTTCGCTTGAGTAGAAGCCAAGCACACTCATGCCTTATTATAGCATGTGTGCCTGAGAAGGGGGATGCCTGAATCAGTAAGAGGCACTGAGTGCTCCAAAAAGGGGGGGATGTGTGCCAACAAAATAGGGCCTGCATGAAAGAGCTCATCATCCGAAGCCATCCTGGATGAGCTTTTCTTTTGCACCTCCCACCACACACCCCTTCAGGATTACTCA